TCCTCCTCCTCCTCCTCCTCTCCCCTCCTCCTCCTCTCCTCCTCCTCTCCTCTCCTCTCCCCTCCTCTCCTCTCTCCTCCTCTCTCCTTCTCCTCTCCCCCTCCTCTCCTCACTCCTCTCCCCTCCTCTCCTCCTCTCTCCTCCTCCTCTCCTCCTCCTCTCCTCTCCTCTCTCCTCCTCTCTCCTTCTCCTCTCCCCCTCCTCTCCTCACTCCTCTCCCCTCCTCTCCTCCTCTCTCCCCCTCCTCTCCCCCTCCTCTCCTCTCCTCTCTCCTCCTCTCTCCTCTCCTCTCCTCTCCTCTCCCCTCCTCCTCCTCTCCTCTCCCCTCCCCTCCTCTCCTCTCTCCTCTCTCCTCTCCCCTCCTCTCCCCTCCTCCCCCTCCTCCTCTCCCCTCCTCCTCTCCTCTCTCCTCTCTCCTCCCCCTCCTCCTCTCCTCTCCTCTCTCCTCCTCCCCTCCTCTCCTCTCTCCCCCTCCCCTCCCCTCCTCTCCCCTCCTCTCCTCTCTCCTCCTCCTCCTCTCCTCCTCTCCTCTTCTCTCTCCCCTCCTCTCCTCTCTCCCCCTCCCCTCCTCCCCTCCTCTCCTCTCCCCTCCTCTCCCCTCCTCCTCTCCCCTCCTCTCCTCCTCTCCTCCTCCTCCAGTCAGATATTGAAGCTGTGTTTCTCAGTGTTGCTGCTCACAGACACCCACAGGTCACATGACTGTATCTCAGGCTCCACCAGGCGAAGTGTAAAAATAAAACCGAGAGGTCGACCCTGCAGGACGCCTCGCGGCTGCTGCCTCTGAGTAACTGTGCTACTCACATCACACCTGAATCCAGATCAGGGTTAGTGGTCCATCCTGGGTCTGCTCCACCCGACGCTGCCTGACAATTAAAAATTCATTTGTAATCGCACAACTTCAGTGAGCCGAGAGCCTGAAGCTCTGTCCTCACATCAAATGTTAAAATTCAAATCTGTACAACTCAACGTGAAGTTCGATCCACAAGCAGAGGGACAAAGCGTCTCATGTCTCAAGTGTCCGGTCGTTTATTGAGAACAGCTCAGACACTAAAGAGAAGTCCTCATGTCTTCATTTGATCGGATGACTCCGTTAATCAGGACACGTGTCCACACGTCTGCGTCTCACTCACACTATCGTGGCGTGTTGGAGCAGCTCCAACTGATCGCTTGAAGAATCTCCCTCAAAGGCTTCTTGGGAAATCGTGTTAGAATAGATGAACCAACTCATGAGTCACATGGTAACCCAGTGTGTGTGTGTGTGTGTGTGTGTGTGTGTGTTCTCCACAGCGCCTCCCACAGTGCGGATTGTGCACTCAGGTCAGGCCTGTAACGTGGAGGAGGAGCACTACAGTGAGAGAGTTTTCACCATCAGAGAGGGAGAGACTCTGGAGCTGCAGTGTTTGGTGACAGGACACCCCCGACCACAGGT